CAGATCAACCACCTGACCGCGTCCATCGACGCCTCTAACGTCTATGGCAGCTCAGAGCAGGAGTCTCGGGAGCTGAGGAACTTGAGCAGCCAGAGGGGGCTGCTGAAACAAGGGCAGGTGGTGCCCAGCTCGGGAAAACACCTGCTCCCATTTGCAGTGGGGCCGCCCACCGAGTGCATGAGGGACGAGAACGAGAGCCCTGTGCCATGCTTCCTGGCAGGCGATCACCGTGCCAATGAGCAGCTAGGCCTCACAGCCATGCACACCCTCTGGTTCCGGGAGCACAACCGCCTTGCCACCGAGCTGCGGGCCCTGAATCCCCACTGGGATGGGGACACGCTCTACCACGAGGCGCGCAAAATTGTGGGCGCCCAGATGCAGCACATCACCTACACACACTGGCTCCCCAAGGTCCTCGGAGAAGCCGGCATGAAGGTGCTGGGGGAGTACAAAGGCTACGACCCCAATGTCAACGCCGGAATCCTCAATGCCTTCGCCACGGCGGCCTTCCGGTTCGGACACACGCTGATAAACCCCATCCTGTATCGGCTGAACGAAACTTTCCAGCCCGTACGCCAAGGCCACGTCCCCCTCCACAAGGCTTTCTTCTCCCCTTTCCGGATCACCCAGGAAGGCGGAATCGACCCCCTCCTCCGTGGTCTGTTCGGGGTCCCTGGGAAAATGCGGGTCCCCTCTGAGCTCCTGAACATGGAGCTCACAGAAAAGCTTTTCTCCATGGCACACTCGGTCTCGCTGGATCTGGCAGCCATCAACATCCAGAGGGGGAGGGACCATGGCATCCCGCCCTACAATGACTTCAGGGTCTTCTGCAATCTCACGTCTTCCCAGGAGTTTGAAGACCTCAGGAATGAGATCCAAAACCTGGAGATCAGGGAAAAGCTCAGGAGGTACTGTGGCTTGGACCATGCTATCAGTTTACCGATAATATTAACCTCCCCTTGCACCGGTCAACTGATCTGCTGTGCTGTGGTGGGATTCAGAAGCCAGGGTGAGGGCCATGGTATAATAACTAAACTAAGTGAGCCATCCTTTACTTCCCATACCCATACTTGGTATGTCACTCTTTGGGCATCAACCTGAATCCTTGCTAGCTATTTGCTAAGGCCACCTCCACTTGCTCAATCTTTTGATTTAGTGGATCTAGTAAGGACTTACTAAACCAAATGCTAAGGGGGCTGAGTTAGACCTTCCCGTCTGTAGTCTAGGTGGCTCACAATAGCTACTGTCCAAATGTTGTCCTCAATGGGTTCCTTGCACAGGACGGCAGCTGAGATTGCTCTCCATCCTCTGACAGTCTTTCCCTTTTTGCCTCTCACTGTGCAGTTTGTACGGGACTACCAAAAACATTGACTTGTTTCCAGCCCTGATGGTGGAAGATCTTGTCCCCGGGACCAGAGTTGGACCAACCCTGATGTGCCTGTTAGCAACGCAGTTCCGAAGACTCCGAGATGGGGATAGGTAGCATCATCTCCGATCAAACCAGAGCCCCCCATATGCGCTTTGGGGAGATCACTCCTCCTGGGGAGGGACATGAAAGGGCAATTCCTGATTTCCGTGGAGTACAAGGGAACTGTGATGGTTCCTTGGGTAGGGGAATCAGAAGGAAGGTCAGGCTCAGTTCTCCTCCCTGCTGCATATTGGCTCAGTGACAATACAGGCATTGTATTAACTAGGGGTATGTCTAGACTGCATCCCTCTGTCGGCAGAGGGATGCAGATTAGGCATCTCGACATTGCAAATGAGGCAGGGATATAAATATCCCGTACCTAATTTGCATAACAATGGCCGCTATGTTTTGCCGACTCAGCACTTTGTCAGCAAAAAGTGGCAGTCTAGAGGGGGATCTGTCAAGAAAGAAAGCCTTTTTCGACAGATCCCTTATGCCTCCTACAAGGAGGTTTACAGGATCTGTCGAAAAAGGCTTTCTT